AGAACGCTAGGTGTAGATCTTTCCTACCAGAAGATCAGGGGTGTGGCAGAAAGACAGCAGTTAGGAGGAGCCAAGGAGTAGCAGTAGAAAGGCTGCAGAAAGAGTCAGGAAGACGAGTTATCGGCAGGGACGAGGTGGAAGAAATGGATAACAAAATATGAGAATCTTGTGATAGCCATGGACATCACAGCAGACCAAAGAAAAAAGGCACTGTCGATGCACTATGGTGGCGATGAGGTCTATGATCTCGTCGAAACCTTCTCGGAAGAGAGCAGAGAATCATACAAGACACTCAAGGCAGAATTAAGTAACAATTTCACGCCTAAAGTGAATCCGACATTTGAATCGTTCAGATTACGAAAAATGAAGCGAGAGACATCAGAGAACGTAGACCAATTCCACGTAAGACTCAGGACTCAGGCAAGCCTTTGCCATTTCGAAAATATTGAAAGGGAAATCCTGGCCCAACTCATTGAAGGGGTCACATCCTCTAAACTGCGGAGAAAAGCGCTCCGAGACAGACTCAGCCTTACTCAGTTCTTGGCTGAGGCCCGTAACGACGAGCTTATGGAAAAGCAAACCAAGGAGATTGAGAACTCCGTGGACCAGTTCCAAGCGCTGGCTATTCGCCAGTCCCACAAGAGCCAGGGAAAAAAACACAAGATATTGTTGCCTAACAAGAAGACCAACAAAGACAAACCACAACACACACACAAAAAGACACAATGTAGAAATTGTGGTGGTCTTTTCCCACAACCCCCAACAAACCCTGTCTGGCTAAAGGTAAGATCTGCTGCAACTGCCATAAGCCCAACCATTTTGCCAAGGTCTGTCGCTCTACTAAAGTGAAAACAGCAGCGTACACGATCGAAGACACCGGCGAAGACTCTGACAGCGAAGGTGTATTCACCCTTCATACTCACAGAAAACGTGTGCCAAAGACCACTGTACGGATCAACAACCATTCATTTGAGGTGATCATAGACACAGGTGCCTCAGTGAATATAATCACCACATCCACATATGATGGAATAGTGCCCAGACCTAAGCTTGAACTGAGTTCAACACCTATCTACGGGTACAACACAACAAAATCCTTACCAATCAGAGGATCCTTTACAGCACAAGTCTGTCACAAACAGGCACAGGCAGATGCCAAGTTCTACGTGGTCGACAGAACAAATGAACGGTGCTGCAATCTAGTGTCAGTTTCGACATCAGAAGATCTGGGCATCGTCTCACTCTCTCTATATGTCAACGTCCCTGAAACCATCTACACCGGGATGGGAAAAATTAGCGATGTAAAGGTCAGACTTCACATCTACGAGAACGTCACCCCAAAGGCGCAGACACACAGGCGCATCCCGTACCACATCCGCAAAGATGTAGAACAAGAACTACAGCGTCTTGAAGAAAATGACATCATAGAGCATGTGAAGGCCCAACACTTTGGGTTAGCCCGATCGTGGTGGTCCCAAAGAAATCAGGAGGAGTCAAGACTCTGCGTGGACATGCGGGAAGCTAACAAAGCCATTAAGCGTGAGCGACACCCCATGCCCACAATCGATGACATGATTCATGATCTCAAAGGATCGACAGTGCTCAGTCGCATCGACCTCCAACAGGCGTTCCATCAACTGGAACTCGATGAAGGTAGCAGATACATAACAACATTCTCTACACACGTTGGCCTTCGACGATACAAGAGATTGATGTTCGGAGTAAACGCTGCTCCTGAGCTCTTTCAGCAAGCGCTTCACAGCATCCTCCATGACATTCAAGGTGTCACACATTATATCGACGACATCATTGTTCATGGGAGAACAAAAGCAGAGCATGATGCCAGTCTCACAGAAACTCTAGAAAGACTTCAGCAAAGAGGTGCGAAACTCAACAAAGACAAGTGCATCTTCTGTGTTAAACAGCTGTCATTTCTGGGTATACTTTTGGACAGAACGGCTTATCACCTGAGCCTCAAAAGGTGAAAGCTATCAGGAGCATCACACCGCCAACATCGGTCTCAGAGCTTAGGTCTTTCCTAGGCAGGACACAGTTTGTGTCTCGTTACATCGACGGCTACGCCACCATCACAGAACCACTGAGAAGACTCACAAGAAAGTCCCAAATATGGAAATTGGGACAACAACAAGAAGGAGCCTTCAAAA